TAACCTGCTTTATTTTACCAGTGAGTTCGATCATGCGACCCTGTATTTCCATAAAAGCCTGTTTCAGGAAGAAAAAAATAGTATTACACCCGTCACCCTCTACCATAGAATTGCCAATAATTTGGTGACAACATTAAGAAACAAAAAAACTTAAAGCTTAAAATTGATTCTACTTACAGTTCTGTTTGCTTCGTCAGCCATTTTGAAGTCAGAATCCCCTGTACACTTCATAAATTTACAATTCAAATTGGGTATTAAGAATTTAGTATATGAGGTAAATCATGTAATGTGGTAGAAAGACATTTTGATTGAAAAAGAAATCATTACTATATTGCAATTATATATAGGGATTTAACATTTAAGCACCCGAGTTAGGGAACTCATATTTACATCTGAACTATAGAGTATAATGATACATGTATGATCACTAATTAACATACAAGCTTAATAATGACAAACATGTACTATCAAGCATACTTTTTTTCAATCAAAGTTCCAAAGAACGAATACAAATTTGAGGACAGGGTATGGAAATAACCTCAGGTTCTTGACTTTATGGTTTAAATATGCTGTTTCAACAGTTAAAACGCTACCCATTTAACATTTCGAGTGCTAATACCAGTTTGATACATTTGAAAAAAACATTTTTAAACTTTTAATAGAGTTGTGGAATGTATGCAAGGAATTCCCTCAAAATGCACTGAACTAGCTGAGAGGAAATGCATATGATAAAAATCCTTTTTTCACAAATAAATAACAAGCTTGTATTAGAAGGTAATAATAAATATAAGAAAAACTTGTTCTGTCAAGAACCAGTTCAGCCGATTAGTCAGGCACCTAGGTCCAACTTATCAGCGGGCAAGGGTGCCTAGACCAACTAATCAGGCACCTTAAATCATTTCTAGATTCGGACTCAAAATCATAAATACGCATGTTATGTAAGTTACTAAAAAACTAATGCAACAACTACATGTGATAAAATTACAAACATTTTTATGCATACATTAATTTTGGGGTTGGATGAAAGTATGGCTTTGGAGAGAGCAAAGTGGAGGGCACACCCCAAAATCTTCCAAAATCTTTTGGGATAAGGCCTTGATGTTGTTTGTTGTTGTAATTGCATAGTTGAGCTAGAGACAAACATTAGGTGAATATTTACATCATTTCCCTACTAACAATATAAATGCGTATTCTTTTTAATATGATACCACCATTAAAGAAAATCGCCACATAAATCCTCAAAATTAAAAAGGAACACAAGTTAGCAAATGCCTGGTGAAAATCAGATTCATAAAGCGTTGTTCCGTACTTGTTTCGAAAATATGAAATGGAGTTTCCAAGTTGGACTTTTTTACTGTATATCGAAAGAACTATAATGATAAAACAACATATGATTTGTGTTACAAATCTGGACAACATATTCAAACAAGATTTTTTTTTCGAGGATATTTTATAAGGATGAATATTGAGGAGCCTGAGAATTAACATGAGGGAATACGATATAGACATGTAGAAAACGATATACCTCGATCAGAAGCACAGTGAATCGTCGGCCTACTGTGAATATAATAAAGGATGGGGCGGATATGGGAGAAGGGGTTCTTCGGCCTACTGTGAATAGAAATATGAAGTTTCACGGTCAATTTTTTTGGGTTAGATTTTGTAGTCTTTTTTTGTAGTATCTGATCAATGCTTTTTTAAATGTCAACATTATTAATTGGGATGGATTTTGAATTTGTGACATCTCCTTGTGATTATCACAGTGAAAAAATCATTAAGAAGTTTTGTATTACGTGGTTGTATTGTCTGATTCTGCTAATTTATGAAAAAATTATAATTCGATATGTAAAATATATTTTATTAATAGAAGAAAGAAAAAATTATATGAAAAATAGCTTAAATGGTCCTCGATATTAACTTCAGTCAATACAGCCAGAAAAGTAACTTTAACCTTATTTGTTCTTATTGTTTCACAATTTATCGTTTGAAATCAAAAGTTACATATTTGGTGAAAAAGTTGATTAATAAGCCCGATCGGCGAAAAAACATGATCACCAAAATTGCTCTTAGAATTAGGCTTTTCAAGTCCAAAGTTCTTAGTAGTAATCACTTTGAAGGTAAAATAGATTAGATTATACTCCCTCCTTTGTCCTTTAATTAAAGTCACGGTTTTATTTCGCACATATTAAAAAAATAAATTTATTGAAGGATAAATTTTATAATAGATTACATTTTTTTACGCTAAATACGCTATTGACACTTTTAGACATTGCTTTTCACTGTCTTATATAGATTTATTTACTAAATAAGGAAGTGTGACTTTATTTAGAGAAATCTAAAAAATTAAAGTGTGACTTTAATTTAGAGCAAAAGGAGTATCTATTTTTTATTTTTAAATTACACATAAAGGCGTTGCAGTGTTTTATACAAAAAACATGCAAATTATTTTATCACTCTCTCGCATGTAAAATATTGTGAAATGTTTTTTTAAAATTATTATAATTTACATTAAATAATCCAGACAAACAGTACAAAATAGAACGTAATAATTATTTTATCATATCATTAGATGCCCCCTTGATGTAATTATCAACTATCACTATGAAAATAATGTATTCATTTCATCAATGTCTTCAACACTATGTATAATTTTAAACATTTTTATAGCATTGGGAAAAGCCAACAGCACTTCTTATTTGAAATACATTAACTTGTACGTATCTATATTATATATAAAAACGGAATAGTCATAGACCATTTAGGCAGGAAGTGTTGAGCGTATTGGAAGCCATATTGAGCGGAAGCATTGTGATTGTGAAATAAAATACAGTACGTACTAATCAATAAATGCTTTTTTGGCTGAATAAACAATTATTAATCATAAATGGCACTCTCGGTAAATGCAAAGGTCATTGTTGAGTGGATGGAAGTCTGTTTTGGAATATAAAAAAACTGACCCCACCTTCTGTTGCAAATAAATGAACCGATCAAATAAATAAATAATTTAAAATTGAAGTGTATTGGAAGCCTGTTTTTGGAATATAAAAAAACTGACCCCACCTTCTGTTGCAAATAAATGAACCGATCAAATAAATAAATAATTTAAAATTGAAGTGTATTGGAAGCCTGTTTTTGGAATATAAAAAAACTGACCCCACCTTTTGTTGCAAATAAATGAACCGATCAAATAAATAAATAATTTAAAATTGAAGTGGCTGCGTATGGAACTTTAATTGTAGTAGTGGAACCGTTTTTTTAAATAACATCGGTGAAACAATTAGTTGATTGTTGAGCTTCTCCAGATTTTTTAATAATTTTGCATGCATGTCCTGCATATAAAAGGGTGTTTGTCGTTTGTCTAGACACGTACTAACGAACATAATCTTGGTTTAGTGTTGCTTTGCCTTTTTCGTGGTATGTGAATGCTATTCTGCAGATGAGATGTGTCGGTATTTTGATGTGCTAAATTTTCATTTTTATTCACAAGTTGCCAATGATATTTTTTTTTTACGTTTGTTCCTCATAGATGTCTCCAACATTTGGCCTTGTGAGGGATGTCACTCCACAAGATACCCATTGGGCATTGAGACTACGTGTTGTTCGTTTGTACGTTTCACAGAATGAGGATGGTGAAGTGAAGGGCTTAGAATGCATCTTTCATGACCGAGAAGTATGTGTTAATGTGACAATAATTTCATGATGTTCAACTTTGTTTGTATTTCTGAGTTCTGATTGATGCTTTGTTTAATGACTAATGGGGGGGGGGGGGGGGAATTCATGCGACAATAAGGATTTTTCAAATGGCACAGTATAAAGAACTTTTGAAGGAGGGGTCTCTATATGCGATTCGCAATTTTATTGTTGCAATCGACGGAAAGAGATACAAGACAACCACAAACAGATATAAGCTTTTTTTTTTCAAAAGACTCAGGTTTTTTAGTTCAAGGATGAAGAATTTCCAGATTTTACTTATAACTTTAAGCGTTTGGAGTCATTGCTAATGACTAATATCTTGGATGAGAGCGAGCTTTTTGGTATGTTTTTTTCATGTTTGTTTAGACACATTACAAATAAATACAAGTAGTGAGTGGGCTAATTATTTTAATTGATATAGATGTGATTGGTGTGGTTGTTTCCAAGCAAGATGTCAAGCAAATGACTGTTAAAGGTCAACCTCATAGAATAATCGAATTTAAAATCCAGGACAACGAGTGAGTTGCTTTTTACACAGGTTGCATATAATTTTATTCTAAAACGTGTGTAATATTGGTGATTTCAACTATGGTGTTGTAATTAATTAAATGTAGGATGCACCAAATATCATGTACTTTATGGGATGCATATGTGGATCAAATACTCCCTTATTTGAATGGTGACACTAATGAACCTTTTATTGTACTACTTCAGTTTTGTCGAGCTAATATTTTCCAAGGTTAGAATCTGGAATTAAATTTCCCTCTTTCGCAGTCACTTTTTCGAATTTTATATACATTTCCACATGTTGTAGGTGAGCCAAAGATTTCAAACATATTCAATGTAACGAAGGTTATTGTCAACGGGGAGCATGCTGCGTTTCAAGAGTTCAAGAATGGGTAATATAATCTAAGATTTTAAATATGTTATAAATGTGTTTGGTAAAAAAATTATATTAAAGTGGAAATTTCTTACAGCATGGCAAATAGGAATGTGGTCTGCCAACCAATTGCCACTATGTCTGGTCCTTCTTACTCACGTGTGAGTATCAGTGATGAGCTGAATGGTTTGATCCAGCCATTAAAAACAATAAATCAACTGTACGAGTCTGGAGAGGTATTTTAGGAAGATATATCTGTTTTTTATTTATTTGTATGTTTGTAATTGAAGTATGAGAAATGTAAATTTGAATTTTCCAGGTTGGCAGTTTTTGGATTCATGCGAAGATAGTGTCCATTGAGTGTGACAATAGTTGGTGGTATCTCGCATGCAATAGGTGTCCCAAGAAATTAGAACATATGTTGGTGGTATCTCGCATGCAATAGGTATCTCGCATGCAATAGTTGGTGGTATCTCGCATGAAGATGAGGTGAAGAACTTTACTTTGTTTGAAATTAAAAAATTGTTGCGCAGTTGCGGGAGGAGTTTGGATGAATATAACACCATGCCGGTTCCAGATAATAGATTCTTATCAAATAACGGCAATCGATTGGTGTACGGTGATCTGAGCTAAGGTATGATCGTAAAATTTTGGCTGAGGAGCATGCAAATTTGCTGGGTAATTTGACTAATGAACAAGGAGTTGTCTATGATACTATAATCAGGGCTATTGATGCTGATAGTGGTGGAGTCTTCTTTGTGTATGGGTATGAAGGAACAGGGAAAACTTTTGTATGGAATATTCTTTCTGCAGCTATACGTTCAAAAGGGGAAATTGTATTGAATGTTGCATCAAGTGGTATCACCTCACTTCTGCTGCCGGGTGGTAGAACTGCGCATTCTCACTTCAAGATCCCGATTAATCCCAATGAAGATTCTACGTGCAACGTAAAACAAGGAAGCGCACTTACCGAACTTCTTATCAAATGTAAGCTTATAATATGGGATGAAGCACCAATGGTACACAAATATTGCTTTGAGGCTTTAGATCGGACACTCCGAGATATTTTGCGATTTAGCAATCCTTCAAGTTTACAGATGCCCTTTGGAGGAAAAATTGTGGTGTTTGGTGGAGATTTTAGGCAAATCCTTCCTGTCATTCCGAAAGGAAGGAGACAGGATATAGTTAGTGCATCCATAAACTCTTCTTATTTGTGGCAGCATACAAATGTGATGCGTTTAACAAAGAACTTGAGGCTTCTTCATTTGTCAGGCAGTGATCAATCAGAATATTTGATTAAGTTTTCCGAATGGATTGCAAGCATTGGAGACGGTACAATTGGAGGGCCGAATGATGGTTTTGCAGAGATTGAGATTCCTGAGGAGTTCTTGATTACAGATTTTGAAGATCCAATAGCTAAAATGGTTGAATCCATTTATCCTGATTTTGGAACCATTGATCATGATCCCAGTTATTTGGAAAAAAGGGCAATATTGGCACCAACCCTTGATGTTGTTGATTCTATCAACGATTATATGCTCACTTTAAATGGTACTGAGTTGAAAACATACTTAAGTTCAGATAGTCCATGTCAGTCTTATGCAAATCTTGATTTCTTGGCTGATATTCACACTCCAGAGTTTTTAAATGGAATTAAAGCTTCCGGAGTTCCTAACCACCAATTGCATCTTAAAGTTGGGACACCGGTTATGCTAATGAGAAATATAGACCATTCCCAAGGTTTGTGCAATGGAACTAGGATGGTTATCACTAGATTGGGCAATCATATTTTGGAAGCAAAAGTTTTGACGGGAATAAGTGCAGGTCAAAAGGTCTTAATACCTAGAATGTCTTTGACACCGTCAGATGTGAGGTTGCCTTTCAAGTTCCAGAGGAGGCAGTTTCCAATTATTGTCTCATATGCAATGACAATAAACAAGAGTCAGGGGCAGTCTTTATCTAAAGTTGGATTATTTTTGCGCAAACCGGTTTTTAGTCATGGTCAATTATATGTTGCTCTTTCGCGTGTTACTGATCCCCGTGGTTTGAAGATTCTTATATGTGACAAGGAAGGTAGGAGTACTAATATAACAACAAATGTTGTATTTCATGAAATCTTTCAGAATTTGTAAAACACTTATAATTTTTATGTTTTAATGTACTTAATTTATTTGTTTCCCAATTTCTTAAACCCTTTTGATATAAATTAGGGTTCTTTTATTTATATGTTTTGTGATTTATATTATTAATTCCCGATGAATTATTATGTGTTATATACGTCAAATTTAATTAATTTCATATACACGAAATTTTTCCCGTGCATCGCACGCGTCATATACTAGTTAGAGTAAATAATACATTATATTGCATCTGATATTCACGAGGATATAAATTCCGTCTTTTACTGTTGATCAAGTACAATTTTGAAATTAACATTAAAATGCTTGTCGCAAATGGTGGAATCTAACTCACGTCACATCAACCTTGTCCAGCAACAACTTTAAATCATTGTCTCGATTTGCCAGTTACAATTACCTGACCGGTCATTTACAATTACCCGACCGGCCGTTAGTATAGTTACCCAATTTTGACCAATTATAGTTATCCAAACCAATCAATTATCGTTGTTGGGTTCGACCATTTACAGTTACCGACCATCACCTTGACCACCACCGGCGACCACCACCTCCAGCCACCACAGGCGACCACCGCCGCCGACAACCACCACACCCCATCCCCAAGCTTTACCCAACCCCTCCCCTGCATCACCCTAGTCCACTGCCTCACCGACACACTCCCCTGCCTCATCTCGCCCCCTACCCCTCTGGGCTCTGGCACCACCACGCCCCAACCCCCAAGCCCCTCTAGCCTCCTAGGCCACGACTGTCGGGGACCGAAAAACCTAGGCGCGACAACAAACGACCACCACATAACCCCATCTGCAGCCGTCGATAACCCGACGTTTGGAGTCCTCGTCGCCCCATTTCTTCCAAATTGCAGCAATCGATTACTCGATTACGCCATCAACTTCTTCACCTGTAGTCCCCGTTTCCGCACTCTTTTCCCAATTAAAAAAACTTGTTTGAAATAACCACAAAGATAAGTAAGATCTAACTGAAACGTTTGTCGTCATTGCATCACTTTAATGACCCTTTCATGACTTTCATCCATTTCAAAACTCGAAGCTAGCCCAGCTGAAATAGTCTTGTGCGACTAGTCCGACTACACATATATTTCCTTTTCGAGCAAAATTTCCTAATGCCATAACGCCATCCAACCGAGGGCGACCCTAAGAATTAATAGGATCGTTATGAAAAGTAATTAGAATATTGAAATATTGTGATGTTACATCAACAAATATAAATGAAAATAGCTTATTCAAGTATATATAGGGTCCCTGCACAAAAAAGAGAGCCAACCATGAACTTGTAAAAAGCACAGTAAGGTTAAATCACACCAAAATGGACATTATCTGCCTGGGTACGACCAGGATCTTGTTGCAACAGCTCTTTGAGGTTACTCTCCACCTCACCGATCTGTTTTCCATGTACAAATAATAGTATCAGAACTGTCACTATATAATTGGAGAGAGGTGGCTAGATGCCTAGATATGTATAAGGTTGAGGCTATGTGTATCTTGGGAAATGGCAAGGAAATGAAAGAAAATGATAAGGAAATTCCTTTTCTAATCTTAGGATCTGGAAAAGACAAAGCAAAGAAAGTGATACTCGTATATGATTAATTTGTCTACATATGCTCAGATTGCTTATTACTTATGCATTAAAAACAAACACGGAGTAAATATAAATCACTACATATGCATAAATTGCATATTACTTGTACTGTTGTACATTAAAAATAAAGAAACATAAATGACTTTGAACAAATATTAAAACGAAATTTATTGAATTTGAAGCATTGTTTTACTTTCATTGCTAATTTCTTACCTTCCCAAATTTTTCCTGCAATTTCCCTCCCTCCCTCCCTGTTTTCTTTCCTTGGCACTTTGTGCATTTGAAGCATGCTTTAAGGCTATGTTTGGATCCCAGAAAATGCCACAGAAAGAAAAGGAAATGCTAAAGAAAGTTATCTTCTTATGTTTGGATTTACTTCTGAAAATGCAAAAGTGAAAGAAATGTGATTATGTTTTAAAGAATTTCATATAAGTTTCGATTGCATAGTCAGCCCCTGACGAAGTGTCAATCCTTCCCGAAATAAATAATATCAACTCTTCTTGATAAGGTTTACATTAATATTAGTAATTGTAAATTACATATTTAGAGACTACACTAAAACTAGGGATGGAGCCGGTCCGGTCCGACCGGCCCGGGAACCGGCCCGGCCCGCTATAGTGCGGGCCCGGCCCGAGTGACCGGTACCGGGGTGGGTCCGGGACTCAAAAAATGCGAACCGGCTCGGGCCCAAACGGCAACTTAAAAAACATTAAATAATTCAGGCTCCTCCCGGCCGTTGGGAAAGGTCCCAAACGGCTATATAGCCATTGGTTGCGGGGGGGGGGGGGGGGGGGGGTCCCGGGGGTTTGGGGGTGGGGGAGTAAAAAAAAATACTATAAATACTAAAACTAGGTTTACATTAATATTATTAATTGTAAATTACATATTTAGAGACTACACTAAAACTAGGGATGGAGCCGGTCTGGTCTGACCGGCCCGAGTGACCGGTACCGGGCTTAGGCCCTACCCGATGGCTTTTCCGGGGGCGGGTCCGGGACTCAAAAAATGCGAACCGGCTCGGGCCCAAACGGCAACTTAAAAAAAATTAAATAATTCAGGCTCCTCCCGGCCGTTGGGAAAGGTCCCAAATGGCTATATAGCCATTGGTTGCGGGGGGGGGGGGTCCCGGGGGTTTGGGGGTGGGGGAGTTAAAAAAAATACTATAAATACTCCTATTTTCTATACATTTTTCTACACCTCTTCTCTAACTCTTCCTAGTTCCTACTCTCTACTCTCTAACATTCTTAATCATCTCCATCTTCATCTTCTCAAATTCTCATATTCTCTATACATCTATTTTACTATTTATACAATTATTATATCTACTTAAATATTTATTATCTACTTATAAATACATATATTATATTATATTTATTATCTACTTATTATCTACTTAATATCCACTTTTTTTTGGACAATTCTTTCTAACCTATATAGTATCTGCTCATTGTTAATGCCAACACCTTGAACTGGGATGGGATTCGAACCTGTGACCTCCTCCTTGGGAGTGCCACAGTGATACCATCAGACCACAAGGTACTTGGCTACTTAATATTCACTTAATAAATACATATTACATATACAAAATATATACTTATATACGATAGTATATTACAGTATTAAATATAAGTGTATTACTCATCTTATAGTAGTATACGTATATATTATATACTATAAACATTATATTATATATTAGTTATACAATTATTATATCTACTAATATAGTTCGAATTATCTACTTATAAATACATATATTATATACTTAAAATCTACTTAATATATAATTACTTATATGTATTTATTAGAAAATGTATTTCATGTTTTAATTTTTTCCTCAATTTTCAATTGTAGACTTGTAGTTCATATTTCAAATAAATATACGTTCAGTTTTTTTATGTAGCACTTCTTGAATTAATTTGTTAACATTAATAAAAAAATAAAAAATAAACCCCGACCCGGCCCGCTACCCGGGCGGGTACCCAGCCCGACCCGGTACCGCCCAACACCGGGGCCGGTCACGGGCTTCATCCCCAAAATACTAAGCCCAGTCGGGCCCAACCCGGAACCGGACTGGGCCCGGTCCATGCCTAACTAAAACCACTATAAAATCACAAAACCCAAATTTGAATATAATAAAATTTTGACACACACACATATATACTTTAGCTTTAGATCTCTTCCTATTTTGGCCCGTCAGGCCTATTATATGGATCTTTTTAGGATCCCTTCCATTAGATTTTAATTCTTGCTACCTGTTTGTTTTGTTTGAGAGGTTTTGATCTAATCCCCTATCTTTTTGTATTCTCATTTTTAATAAAACCCCGGTAAATGACTCCCAGCATTTACGCTATTGGTTTTGATGGTTTGCCTTCCGGGATTATATATATATATATATATATATATATATATATATATATATATATACACACACTCCATCCAGTTCTTAATTAAGTTCCTAGTTTGACTTCACACATATTAAGAAATAAATTTGGCTTTACTGTGGAGTGCACTGTTTGAACACTGTTAGACATTGTTTAAACACTATTTGACACTGTTTTGGTGTAAATCATTTGCCAAATAAGGAAAGGTTTGAAGTAGCAACTTTAATATGGACCATCCGAAAAAGGAAAGTAGGAACTTAATTACGGGACAGAAGGAGTATGTGTGTGTATCTCCAAAGATAAAATTGAGGTAGAATATTCATACAGCACTAAAAAATGAATGTGATCAAATATTATAAATTAATTTATTGAGTTTGAACTTTGAAGCAACATTTTATTTTCCTGAGCATAATATATTTATTAGTTGTTGTTGCCTTGTTGATACTGGATACCAAGAAGAAAAATTGGAGGCTGAAAAACAAATTATGGCATGTACGTCTAGGGATGGACCCGGGCCGGGCCGGTTCCGGTTCCGGGCCGGGCCCGGGTGGGCTTTTTTCGGGTTACATGGGCCCGGAACCGGCCCGGGTTGATACCGGGTCCGGGCCTAACCGGGCCGGGCCGGGCCGGGCCCGGTTCAATGTTTTTTTTTTTTTACTTTCTTGTTATCTCCCTACCCCCCCCCCCCTCACCCCCATGCCCCAAACCTCCCTAAAACACCCAGCCCTACCCTAGGAAAAGAAAAAAAATTGAAAAAACCAAAAAAAAAAAAATGAACCGGGCCCGGCCCGAACCGCCCGGGCCGGTTCAACAAAAATAGGGCCCGGAACCGGCCCGCCCGACCCGCCAACACGGGCTAAAAGCCCGGAACCGGCCAACCGGGCCCGGTCCGGTCCGGGCCCGCACAGTAGCGGGCCGGTCCGGTTCCGGGCCGGTTCGGCCCGGCCCAGTCCATCCCTGTACGTCAAGAAAAAGCATAGGGACCCAGAACTCCAGAAGAAGAAATAATGAGTAATTGAAGACATGAAAACTGATACAGATCAGAGGAGTCTCGTATATATCCCTATTTGAAGTTCTTAAGCCAACGCGGCAACGCTACGCTTCATAACTGTTGTAAATCTTTTTCTTTCTTATTCAATCTGCACAGACGCCCCTTTAGGCCCTTACAAGACCCCTGATGCTTCAACTTCTTTCATGCTCAGATCAATGAGGCGTGTCATTCTCGCATTTCTATGATCCGTCTAGGCAATCCTATGATTGTACAATAATTTCCGATCTCAGGCACGACGATTGCGAAGCATACCCTACCAGTAATAGTTGACTCGTGATCTTAACAACAATGCATAATAGCACATGTATGATATATCCAACTATTTGGAATACCTTCGCATTGGTACAATAAATTACAGATTAGGTTGCCACCCTATATTTCAGTGAAACACCTGGTTTCATTTTTAGAAATGTTAATCTCAAGTATGCAGAAGGCAAGATATAAAACCCAAATTCTGTTTTTAAAGATCTCGACACATCAAATATTGCAATCTCTGACACAAACTCGCCAATCCATATTTATAACTCAAATGCTCATAATTATGAATTTATGATACACATCAGTAGATCACAACATATTCCTAATCACATTATATGTGAAAAATACACATTATCAATAAATTGTATTGGAAAGTGAACATTAACATACAGAATTAAACCTGCAAAGGTGGAATTGCATCTTAAATATCCTTGAGCTTCTTCTCTTGCTCATCCTAAAACCCGAGCATGGGCTCCAGCACAAACCCAATGACACCGGCAGAGAAAGGTAAATAATTGAGCAAATGCTGGAATAATCCTATATCACTGAAGATGAAGGTATATTTGGACTTCAGAGTTTAGAACTTGCTTTGTTCCTGCGGGAAAAAGGAAAGAAAACATTAGGATTTTGATGAAATACGAAAAAAAATTAGGTTTTGGATTATGTATCAGAATAAAAAATATCTACCCTACAAGAAGAAGATGAAGAAAAAACACTAAAAAGTTCTTCCAAAAAAGGATAAGAAACTGAAAAAAAAAAACTTGAAGTAGAGTTAAATACAAAGCATTGTTCTAAGAATTGACTAACACAATTCAAGTACAGATAAATACTTGCAGCCAAAAGGAATGATATCAAGAAAAATGTTTGTTTCCCCTAGTCACAAGCTATAGAAAGAAAGAAGTGCAAAGAAATCAATTTTCAAAATCTCTTTTACAACACAACTTTTTCCCCTCAGAACTAGAGCCTATATTCTTTGTTAAAAAATGGGAAATGTAGTCAGTAGTGGTTACACAGCAACCCCAATTCCCATATGCTTTCTTGACCTACAGATTTGTAAGTAACCATATCATCAGATAGGTGTGGCAATTCCTCGGATGTCAAAATGCTTGTTTGTTCTCCCTTCCTTATACAAGTGATTTAGCATTTAGGACTGAATCTATAACCAAAAAAAAGTTAAGTAAAATATTAGCTTGTCAAAGACTATGCTCCATTTGGCTACTGAGTTCTGCATCTATAATATATTGTGTGTTCAATTTTAAAATATTTTTGGCAGAACAATGCAATATGTTTTAGAAATAAAGGAAATTAGCTTTGTGTCTTTAATAGCTTAGATGTAATAAACAGGGATCAGTTTTTCAAGCAAAATTTGATGAATGCATTTGGAAGGACAGTAAGAATTATATTCAACCAGAAACATTAAAGCCACCCACACAACACATGATGCACAAACCCACACATTATTTGAGTTCAGTAAACCTGCTTAAAGGGGTTTTCCTTTCAAAATTTGATTTGAAATTGGACCTCCTTCCATTCTTTGCTTCCTTATCCTCCTGCACGTCATGATCTGTTACTCTTCTCCTAGATCTTGGAGAAAATTCTGTTTTCCGGATGGAATCTCTTCGTGCTGATCTCCTATGTATGCTTCTTGAGGTATCATCTCTAACTTTTGTTTTAAATCTCGGTTTTCCTCTACTTGTTGATTCTAATTTATCATCATGTTGCTCATCATCATCTTCATAATCATCACTAAAATCAGTATCTTCTTCTTCCTCATCCTCATCCTCCTCATCATCATCAAACTTCTCCAATTTCTCTTCCTTCACATCATTACAGCTTTTTCCAGCTTCACATTTGGATTTTTTATCCTCGGTCGAAGATTTCATTAAATGAGCATATCTAAATCTCATTTCCATCATAGGACACTTACCAACTAAAGCCCCTCTTTTATATGCCTCTTTTAATACCACAGTATATGTCCCATTTTTATTTGAAACATAAAATATCCCTGGATGCTGCAGTAATGCTCTTTTGAATCTAGACCTTAAACCCAAATACTCTCCAAGAACCAGTACATTATCCTTCTCTGCCTTTTTCCCAATACACAGATTGAGAACTTCATGCAAAATACCAACTGCCCATTTATCTGACTGGTCAGAATTTGAAGCAAGGTGCATTGCATTCTTGTAAGGTGAGATGTAAGGCAATTTTTGCCACTCGTCAACCCATTTCTGGTACTTTTTGTCCATCTCAAACTCGCTGGAGTACTTCACACTGAAGTTAACTAGGGTTCCCTCATCAAGCTCCCCACGTCTTAAGGTTGCACTCTTCTCCATCTCTGAAACAGCAAGTTCGTGACTCCAACAAACTAATTCCAACATTTCCCCATCACCTCCACTACTCACCCTAAAATAATCCGGAAATTCAGGAACTATCATCTTAACGTAATCTTGGGGTAACCCCAAATCCCATTTAAGCCTATCAATAACAGCCAATGGTACTTGATTAGATTTACCAATCATTAGAAGCTTCAAAAGCCGGTCAGCCACATTTTCTCTGTACATGACACTCTCGTAGAGAAGCTGCTCTTCTGAATCAAGATTGAGAACTTCGGGTGTGAGTTTGATGTGGGGGTGGATATTAACGCTGCCAGGGAAAAATTCCTGAAAAATGGCAGAGTAATTACGGATGAACTCGATGGGTCGGGTCGGGATTTCGAGAGAGTCCTTGGATTGAGTGATGAGGTTAAGAGGGAGGGACTTTGAAGGCTCCAATTTGATGAGGTTTTTGATGTTCAACACCGGCTTGAGGTTCCTCTCCCTCTCTACAGCATGGTCGAGGCCCCGGTCACGGACGCATCTAACAGATGACGCCGCGTCGTAGAGTGTACGCAGTTGGCGGTGATGACGTCGCGAATTTGGCAGAGTGCGGCGGGAGAAGAAATGGACTGGGTTCATGGATAGGTTTGGGAAGAACGCTGTCTTCCAGAACTTCACGGGGTTTAAGGAAGGATTTATCAAAGGCAAATTTGCATCCCATTTCATAAATCCACACTCAAAAGGTTTTTACAAAAATATTACTCCGTATTAAAATACTCCATAACATTTATTTACACAAATATGACCATTATGATAAATAAAAAAAATACAAGTATAACCATTAGTTATTATAATATAGTGTCATAATAATAACTTAAGTTTGAGAACAGCGTCACAAAGGAGGGAGAGAGTAGTAGTGCAGCAGAGGCTTCAGCTGACCAGAAGCGCACGAGAATCTGGAGGGATCCAACACAGGAGGAAGAAGCAAGAGAGGAGATGGCATTGGATAGCGCAAATCCATGCGTGAAGATGGATTTGAAGTTTTTCCATTCTGGATTATATTTTTTTATCGTCTGCTACTTTAAATTTCATGTTAAGACTATTGTTTTTAGCTTTTGTTTGGTTTGTTTCTGTAAGACTCTTGCATTAGAATTGGGGGATGAGAGTCCTGCAGTAACCATTGTTGGCTCAATTATGCCCATTTTAGGATCAGCGAATTATATTGCTTTTTTAAATGTGGTTAACTCAGAGTCTGGCCCAAGGGCGGATGGTTATTGTTGGAGCTTTTGTTACTTTAGCTCATTTCTGAATGCTTTTTATCTAATATAAGCCCCCTTCATTAAAAAAACAATAACTTAAGTTTAAAAAATGAATATAAGTTACTACGATTTCATTACTACTATAATTAATAATCACATTTTTATAAAAAGTCTTCATTTCAGTCATAAATACGCAATTATTATATCTTGAAAATAAAATGTAAAATCAAATATTATCCATGAAAAAGTAGACAAAATACCTGCATAGGTGTAAGGGATGTTTGGAAAATGGTATTTCAGCCAAACAATAGTGGTTTGACATTCTTTAACATTTTCAATTAATGAAAATACCGGTGGGTGTAGCTCAATTGGTAGCGAGGGAGTGTCACAAGGGTTAGGTCTCGGGTTCGACTCCCGGCAACTGCGATGAGAGGTTACTCAATAGAAGGCCTCTGCAAGTACCGGGGACGGAGCCTCACTCGCTATCTGTCAGATTGTGATTATAGTCCAATTTACATCCTCCCATCGTGTCGTCCGGTCGGTGTTGGGGGCCCTCAGGGATGGAGTGTCATCCTTTTTTTCAATTAATGAAAATGTTGTTTAGTAAATCGATGTTGGACACTCGCATTTTTGTAAGAAACCAGTGAAATGGATACACTGCAAAAGACTATAGAAGAGTTTTGGGTTAACATTTTGAAATATTGCGTTTACTACCAGTTTTTATATCCAAACAACTAAATTACCAAACATCTTTTTGCAATCCGCCAACTTATTCCGTTGGTCAAAGTCACTGACTGAATATGATACTGACAACTCGCTAACATAATCCGTTATGCGTGAGTCTCTAATCACCAAATGCCAAACAAATCCGTAATCAAATTGATTCACCTTGGGTGATATTCATTCCACCCTAGTTGCCTGCCATGTGTCCGTGCCACGACAACTCTTTAATATTTCGTACAATTGTTTTAACCTTTTTATTTGTAATCCAATTTTTTCACGTATCTACTCCTTCTTGACCTATATGGAGTGTTTAATAAAATAAATGTTTTTTTTACAAAAATGTGAGTTTCTAATCTTAATAAAAGTTGCAAGTTAGTCATACTAACTTACGTTCAAAATTTTACATGTGAGTGACTATGAAATTATATTATGTTCCTTCTGTCCCGAATTGTAAGGCACTTTACGGTTTACGATGTCTGACCGACGATAAAGTAAACAGAATTCTGTCTGCACTCAAATTATTTTTAGTAAAAAAAATTACATATTCAGAAACTACCTTAAAAACTTTACAAAGTCGCGGAAACCAAAATCGAATTTGATAAAAAAACTGATATATAAAGTAAGAGATTAAAAATGATTTGTGCTGACCAAGTGAACATGAAAGATATCTTATGAAATGGATTTGAGGGAGTAGTAACTTCAATTATTACGGTGTATATTTTAAAAATGGGAAAAAGGGTCAAATAGGGCCTAGAACATACATAAAAAGGTCAAATAAGCCCTTATATAGGAGGCTCTGTCCGGCCGTCACCATTTGGGACGGTTCCTGGTGGAATTTTTTGAGCATCTTATTCATTAATTCTAGTTTACTCATACCTAATTTCAGCTAAAATTTCAATCGGGAAGACATTCAAATGAATTCTTGAAGATAACTGCGCAGTTAAAAGCGCACTCATCTTCAAGAAATCATTTGAATGTCTTCCCCGATTGAAGTTTTAGCTGAAATTTGGTATGAGTGGACTAGACTTAATGAATAAGATGATCAAAAAATTTTATCAAAAAATTCTACTGGAAACTGCCCCAAATGGCGACGGTCGTAAAGAGCCTCCTATATAAGGATTTATTTGACCTTTTTACGTAAGTTCGAGGGCCTATTTGACATTTTTTCCCTTTAAAAGTAAATTTCATTTCATTTTTTTTTCATATTCATCTAAACTTATTATAGCATTGTTCTAATTAATGTCAATATTGATAGTATGAACCTATGACTTCCTCTTTATGAAGATCAAAAGTGATTACCATCAGACTAGTACTTGGCATTTCAGTTACTCCGTACATTTAAAAAAAACCAATACGGAGTACATTATTATTCCCTCCAATTACAAAAAAAAACTTCTGTAGATAAATTCATCAGAATTGTTGTTTTTAAATTGAGGTTTGGGTATTTGACGCTTTAAGAAAAAGTATCAATATATTATTGATTAGCCCCTTCTCCCTAATACTGAAATGTATAGTACATGAGTAGGTTGGAAGCCATTTATATGTATTCATCATTTAATCATCTCACTTTTTGATAAATTAAATTCTGTAGCATCTTACGGAGTATGTTTGAATTTTGTGCCTAATAAAAGTATATGTATACTTGTAGTAGAAATAATTACATATAGTAGATGTATATGAAATTTAGTCCAATAATATAGTTCCCGAATTGATTTGGATCGGAGTTTAAGAAAGTGAAAATGTATTATTGTGGTTGAGTAAGAAAAAGTAAATAAATGATAGCCACAAAAAACGTTCCAAAAGGGGAAATGAGAACTTTGTTTTGGGACGGCCCAAAACTGAAACCTGGAACTATTTTGCGGTATGGGGGGAGTATTGTTTACAAAAAATTGATTATACTTAGTGTAGTGAATATATAGTTACTTAGGTCAAATTATGACCTCCTTAAGTGTATAGTGACAATAATAGTAACATAGTTCTAGTCATATATGTTTCATTTCAGTAATATTTTTCAAAAGAACTCAGCTCATTGATGGTATAGTTTTAGAAAATACGAATATATGTATATGTATATACGAAGTATTAAGTAGGGAGGTCAGTGCAAAGCGGACCCATCCCAAATGTCTTAGACTAGTGCAGGTCTTCGAGGGCCGGAATTTTTACAGGTCTAGACGTATTTATGGGGTATATTAGGCTCCAGCCCATTCCAAAATTTAAAATTGCATCCATTCACCATTTAAAAATTACGTAAAAATATTTCAAAGTTTTGTTTGTGTCACCCTACCTCGGTAGATCATACTAGGCTATCTACATGCATGCACCAGGCCATCTTAAAATTTAAATATGGACTTTGTCGATATGAAAAATAATGTATATAGACTCTTTCAACACCATGTTCCCTACATTCGAATACCGTCAATAAAGTACATTCAACATGTTTCCTATACTGTCAATAGTTAAATTATTCTAAGTTATTTTGTTCTTTTATTTTTTTCTGAACTACTACGTATTATGTAATTAGAAAATACAAATTTTGATGTTAAAAAATAAAAAAAACATTAACTTTTGTTTTATTTTTTGGTTAATAAAACAAATTAAGTTCAGGTAAATTCCTACTATTTATGAAAGAGCCATGGATTAAAATTTTGAATTTCATATTTTATGAGTCTAAAAAACTCAAACAATTGAAACTTCAAATTTTGTAGTAACTTTATATATACAATATTGATTTGATATGAAATATTATAAAAGCTATGTAGTACTCCCTATAAGTTTTAATACTCCTTCGATGAAAATGAAATTGATTTGCTACATAATTTATGTAGTTTTGCTACAATACTATCAAATTATCAATAATATATTGATACTTTGACTCAGAATGTCAAATGCCTAAATCTGGGTGGGACGGCGTGGACATAAGTTAAATGTCAAATAACTTAAGGAAGGTATTTGAAAATAACATTCTGAATAGGAAAATGCTAGGGGTACACAAGTTGTACACAACTTGTACACACAATGTCGGTCACAGACAATTGGTACAGAGTTGCTTGTGACCACAGACAAGAGTTGTCTGTGTACACAGACAAATTTTGTCTGTTTCTACAGACATTTTTTTTTTTTGTAAAAAGTACACTGAGAGCCGCCTGACACTGACAAGTACTTTTTACAAAAAAGTAAATGTCTTTGGAAACAGACAAAATTTGTCTGCGTACCAATTGTCTGTGACCGACATTGTGTGTACAAGTATGTACCTTGTGTACCCCTACCATTTTCCTTAAAAATAACTGACTCTTCATCAGAACTCTCAACTTCTCAAGTAAACTTTGGGCTCTTCACTGATTACACATTCCCGGAACTGGAGCGCAGATTGGGGCAATTACCGGTCGCCGGCTCACCGGAAAGCTCCAGACGACGGTCCACGATGGAAAATCATCAGGAGTCTCTGAAGAAGGTTCACCACTATAACCACGATGATTCCTGCAAATTCTCCAGATGGACAACCAAGTAAATTTATGCCCACGCCGTCCTTTCTTCTTCTCGAAAATGTTTTAAAGAATTACACTTAATAAAGGGTTATGTCTTAAAAAATTACATTTGATACATATACTAATAATAAAAAATCAGAATGGTGATTTTTTCAGTTATAGGAGGCTGGCAAAGTAGCATAGCACCATAAGGCCTGCAACACTAATTTAATTTTTAAACTACATATGAGCCACTTTAATAGCCTAATGAGATT